CGGAGAGGAAAAAAATGACAACATGTGCCGAGATCCATTAAAGCGCCTTTTAACACCAGAGACCGAGAACCATAAAAATAAACGACCACAACCATAAACCGAAAGAAGGGTTCCTACCTGCAAACTGTTGAAACTATTTTTTGGACATTATGAATAGTGTATTCATATGTCAAAATAAAATTTTATTTGAATGAGAAATGAAAGTCTAATATGTGTGATTTGAGAAACTTTTATAATGTAACAAATATACATATTACATTTTTGGATTTGGGTTTTGATTTGTTAGTTGGACTTCATGTTCATTAACATCTATATATATAAAGTAATGTTTGCCTCCCTCTTGCCTATGCCACGTCACTAAATAATGTTAAGAGAACATGACACGTGGCTATTCTGTCTGTTTTCTTCTTTTCGTTTAGTTTATGGGCTGCAACAATAATGTTTCTCCTTTTTTGACGGGCTTTTATGTGTTGTTGCTTAGTGAGCTACCAATAAGATTAAATGGGCTTCACAGAAAAGACACAAGATTAATCAGATTAGTTGAAGTTCACGTAAAAGACAAAAGGATACGTCAATTTGCATTCGTCTTCTTCGATGGTCCCCTTTGCAGATTCTAGGGTTCCACGTATCATTAAGCTCCGCTTACATCAGGCTATCACAGAGGTTCAGAAAGGTTGTCTGAAGAAAATATTCGTTTGGGAAGTCCGTTTCGATTGCCTTTCCTATCGTTTCGGTTTGTGATTCATCTCCTCCAGTTCGTTATGTGATGAGGTGATTCATCGCCATTAACAATCTTCTTAACTCCTTAGACCCACAGAAACCACGATTACTCATTCAGGCCGATAATATGTTGTCGAAGCTGTGAAGATCATCACTTTCTTCTAAATCATTGGAGTCTTTGCAGACCCATCGACCCCAATGGCAATCTTTTCTCCTCTGCTTGAAGCTCTGAAGGCAGGACGTTGTTGTAACACCACCATAAAAATTTGGTATGGTATCGACATACTCCTCCTCGACGAGAAGGCAATGCCAGTGACCAGAATCATCTTATCAAAGCAGTCAGAACTCTGTTGCCAAACTCAGAGTAACATCAGATCTGATAACAAGGTCCAAGTAAGGACGTGGCACAATTAAGGGTTTAGGGGAGATCCTGGAGGTTAAAGAAGAAAGACTATTGCTGCAGTGCAAACTCTCACAGTAGCTATTGATCGTCTCTCGAATAAAGTCAGTTTATAAGAGCTACATTTTTTTGAAGAAAAATGGAAATGAAAGATTGTGTTTAAGTTGCTTTTGATTTCCAAAGTTGCGGTGGAGAAGTTTGCCATTAGTTGCAAAAGTTAGTTGGGTTTAAGAGCTGCAATCTTACAAAGTTTCTGTAAATTGGGGATGAAAGTTGTGGTGGAGGAGTTGTGTGACGTGACTGAGAGCTTCTCATGAGATGGTTGTTCAAATTTAGCAACATCAAGGCAGAAAGATAAGTTAAGAGTATATGAAGTTTCAAACTTGACTTCAACAAGAGCATAGTTAGTGCTTACATACAAATACAATAATAATATAGAGTGTGTAACTAAGACTAGATGGTAAACTTTGAGCATGTCTGATTTAGTTTAAATACATTGCATATCATGAATACAAGGAATCCGAAAAAGAAATAAAAGAGAAGGACTCATCAACTGGTATACTATTTGAGATAGCAAAACATGATGACCAAAAAGCCTTTTTTTTTTTTTTTGAGAAAAGCCTCAAGTTATATATCGAGAATGTGTGATGAAAATTTCTAAGCACATAAATAGTTCGTTTTTTTGTCTACTTTGTAGGCACATAAATAGTTACAAATCCAAATAAAATCTAAACTAATAAATTTAACATGATATGATCTTCAAAATGTTAAATTAAGCTACACACGTTTTCGTTATATTAAAACAAATGTTTTCGCTATGTTTTTCACTTTACATCAAAAGTAATAAAGTAAGAATACAAGCTACTAATGTAATAATATATGCAACACACAACACATTTTATTTTACAATGAAAATGATAATTCAAAGACAATAAAACAATGATTCAGTAAAAAAAATCAATAAATATAAATCTGAAGCGAAACTAAATTAAGCATAGCATAATATTTGTCAACATTTAAAATTACTCTTAAAGTATAAATCAGTAACTAAATAAGTTGTAGTCGCATCAGTAAAAAATATATATAGCTATACAATAAAAGAATTTCTCTTAAAAACAATAACAGAGTCTTAAAAATAAATAACTAGAAATTCAGGAAACAAAAATATGAATATATATATATATATATATATATATATATATATATATATCTTCTCTATTAAAAGAGAAGTACCAAATTTATCTACTATAAAGAAGTCATATTAGATCATATCATTAATTATTTAATTTGACATATTTGATTGTTACATTAACCAGTCAAATATATATTATTTTAAAAATATCTTAATAATTAATAAATATATTAATAATAAATGAATTTAAATACAAAAAAATCTGTTGAAAAAATCTAACAAGATCTTACCAAAAATTTAAATATTTTTTTTATAAAATAAGTATTTCTTTATTTACTTATTAGATATAATTATAGTTAAAGCTAAAATATAAATCATATATTTAAAATTTTAGTTATATATTTATAAAATAAAAAATATACCCGCACGAATGTGCGGGTGAAACTCTAGTATATATTATAGTAAAACATACCACTACGAGGTTGAAGTAACTAAAACAAACATTGTGAGACTAAACTTTTCGTTTATGGTTTTAAAAATAAAACACAAACAACATAAAGATGCACAACAGCATCTCTTACCTATTATGCTCTCATCAAACGACTTCTCATACCAGCATTTGATCTACAAACATTTTGAACTATTCAATAAATTTATGGTATATTATACATTACTTTCAGTTACTAACCCGCCCGTAGGGCGGGCCGATCCTAGTAATCTTATAAACCAAACATATGTTGATCTTTTCTATTTATAAAATATAAAAAATAAATCCATTTAAACTATATTTTTTTGAATGAGTCAAATAATAATAATTTAATCTTTATTTTTCTGTCAAAATTGAAATAAATTCATATATTAGTTGGCAAAAATTAAAGTCTCTATTAGTGCACCATAGAAGTTTCTTTTCTTTTTTGAAAATGAAACTTGTGCTTCTCATTTCTTTTTCCTATAAAATGGCTTGTTAGCATTATAGAAAGTACACATATTTTTGGATTGATACATCTCTCACTTAGAATAGTTATGCTAGTATTTGTTTTTATTATTTTTGTGTCTGAGAGTACAACACAAAAAGATATTCGTTAGCTTTTGTTCTGAGTGATGCGGAATAGTCAAAGTGTGGTTGTATCCAGAGATTCTGATTGCGTAAATACCATCACACTACGGGCAATAAAAGAATTAAGGAAATAGTATCTCGCCTCCACATCAAGTGCATCAATAACCTACATGGGGGAGTCAGTGAGTGCTCACATGGGAGGGGTTAGGGTCGATGTACTGCAGCTAGGCCTGGGCATATTATCCATAATCCAGAACCGAACCCAAACCCGACCGGTTATGGATCCATCAAAATACCTGACCGGTTCTGATATGCTGATACTTTGGATATCGGGTATGAGTTTGGTTTAATCCGAAACCCGAAGTAGATACCGAAATAACCAAAGTGTATGTATTATGTATTATGTATTATGTATTATGTATATAAATATTTACATGTATTAGACAAAGTCGACAATTTCCAAGACACGTTTTGTTATTTCCAAAGTTTGAGAGACATGTATTAGTTCATCTTACTTAACAAAGTTTGTGTTGATACGATTATATATTATGTGAGTTTTCATATTTCACTTATCACTGTGATCAATTTGTAAACATTTGTCTAATGTTATCATTTAATAACATAGAAGACATTACAATTTCAATATCTTCTACATATTTATAAATCTTCAGATCTTGTTCTACTTCATTGGCGTCATAAAAATGATTATCAATAAATCAAATCTCAACAATTATGATTCATAAATTTAAGTTAAGTGTCTTATGTTTATTTGTTTTCTTTGAATTTTACTTCAGTTTATCTGAAACCGATACACTAAATCCCGAACCCAAATGATATGCGGTAACTTCAGTATAATCCGAACCCAAACTGAAACCAATGTGTTATATCCTATCCGATCCGAATTTAAGAATTTCTTAAATGGGACCTTGGAGATGTTACAAAAAAAAACCGATATCCGATATATTCGACCTGAACCCGAACGGATACCAGAACGCCCATGCCTAGCTGCAGTGCTATGAGATTCCACATGATGGGTTATCATAAAAAAAGTCAATTTTTTGGTGACGACCCATCCCATAGAAGCTCACAGTGCTAACTCCCCCATATAAGTTATTGATGTGTTTGGCGTACCTCGAACTCAATACCTCATCTTTAAATAGCTTATCCAACATAGTTGAAGGCAAAAAACCATTCTGAAGACCATCATCAGCAACAAATAGGCATAACTGGAGCAAGATACACAACCATCGAAAAGATTAAACTTTTGACATGAAAAAATTTGTGTGAATGAGAACCATATGAACAAATGAAGATCCAAGGAGGCCTCTCCTGCGCTGACAAGAAGCCTAACTACCGGAGAGGCGAAGATTTTGTAGATGAAAACTTGACGGCTGAGGAAATACTTGAGAGAAAATTTTGCATCATAGGTTTTTTTAATCATGAAATAAGTTTATGACTCAAACTAAAAGTTGTTGTTAGATTGTGGATGTCATTGTGAAAAGAGCTCAAACAAAAAGACCAATAAAGAACAACATAGGCTAAAGTGATTTCAGTTGGCCACCCTCAGAATCCTTTTTTTTTAATTAGAAAAGGGCCAAAAGGCAACCAAAAAGAAATAAAAATAAATATAATCAAAGAAATACAATATAAATACTGTTAATTTGATGTTGTTACAAAAAAAAAAAAATACTGTTAATTTGATGGTTAAAATCTGAAAAACTTTTGTCGCCGAAGCGTAAAGGAAAAAGCTTTGATCTAAGTTGTAGAAAGACCACGATTGATCTTTCGAATCAAAGAGAGAGAGATCGATTCGTTGAATAATTTTTTGCCTTATATGCGGAAGAACCCTAGCTGATAATTCGCTATGGGAGATTCCGCTTCTTCTTCTTCTGTTCACCAATCTCTTGGTGGTGGCTCAGGCCAGTCTCTCTTTTCCTTTGCCATTTGTTAGTCTAATTCGGTTTCATTTGCATCGCCTCTGGATTCAATTGAGCTTTGTCGAGATTATTACGGAGTTAACTGATCGATTATATTTTAGGGGTTTTTAATGGATTGTTTTGGGCCTTTTCTTGAAGTTCTAAACTTTAATTAATTTATGAATATGTTTTAAACATTCTCTACTGGTGTGTTTCCGTGTCCGTAGAGCACAATTTTGAATATTGAATCTTCTTGTTTGGGTAAAATGCAGTTGCTGATTTGCTGCTATGGAGAAACGGGAGTGGTGCGGTCATTTTGCTTGTGTCGTCTACTGTGTTTTGGTTCCTGTTCGAGAGAGCTGGTTACAATCTCTTGTCTTTTGTCTCCAATGTTCTGCTTCTTCTTGTTGCTATCCTCTTCTTATGGGCCAAGTCTGCTTCACTACTCAACCGGTAAAATAATATATCTGCTGTTTCTACATTTGTTACCAAAATAAGAAAAAGATGAAACCTTTATGCTTGGAGTTTGTTGGTAGTAGAGAATGCCATTAACTTCTTGTTTGGTTGATATCTACTTTAATTCCTTTATAAGTTTCTGCTTTACAATTGGAGGAATTGTGCTATTATGAAAAAGAGTCATGTCTTCTATATGTTCTTATTAGTATACCACATATGGTTTTTGTTTCAGACCTTTACCACCAGTTCCCAATATGGAAGTCCCTGAGGAGTTTGCTATCAAGGCTGCTGATGATATTCGAGTTTTGATTAATCATGTACTCTCAATTGCAAGTGATATCACCATTGCTAGAAACCCAATTCGTCTCCTTCAGGTTTTAATCTAGTCTTTTTTCATGGCTTGGTAAAATTATTCGAATCTGGATATTTTTACTTGTTTTATAGTCTTAAACCATTCTCGTTGGTTTTTGGTTTGAAATAGGTTTCATTTGTCTTGTGGGCTATATCCTATGTTGGGACTTTAATCAACTCCCTCACCCTTGTCTACATTGGTGAGCCTCTAGTCTAACCTTTTTTCTTTCTTGTGTATGATGATGTATAACATCTCAGTCTATATCTGCTATTTGTTTTCATGCATGCGTCTCTGTTTCTGTCTTGCAGTGATTCTTGTCAGTCTTTCTGTTCCTCTTGTGTACGAGCAGTACCAAGACCACATCGACGATAAACTGAACTCAACTTCTAAAGTCATTCGAAATATATCACGGAAGATTCCGATGCCCGTAAGCAAAGAAAAGAAGTATCAATAGGTAAGCCTTGTCGTCTGAAATGACGCTTTTAGGCCATTACTTGTCCAAGATACTTTAGCTTTTATTTATTGCTATCTGCTGAAGCGCTGCTGCATATCTTCAGTAGCTGCAGGTGAAAAAAATGTCGATTGGTTCATCAGACTAAATACAGAAGCTTTTAGCACACAAGAAAGAACCATTACTGGATTACTTGCTTATAAGAGGCTGATCAAGCAGTGGCAAAAATTGGATCCCAGTACAGATTTTTGTTCATTTTATCAACTCTTTCCGTCTGTTCTGTTCTAGATTCATCTGTTGCTAAAACATTTGGTCTTTTTGTTTACCGTGGCATTGTTGTTGCAGTAGAATCTAATACAATTTGAGTGTTCTTTCTGACCACCCAATTTGAGTGTTTTTTTTATCAACACCCATTTTGAGTGGTTATTCAATCATATTCACTGATTTTAAAGATTATATAGTTGACCTTAAAAAAAAAAATCACATTTCTGAATGTAATTTGTCATAAAAAAAAATGTATATATATTTTTATCACAAATGAATTTAGAAAACACAAATAATAGTACCAATGTTTTCTGTCAAAATTATTCAATCAATGTATTTTAGTAGCATATATAATCTAATAAACTAAAGTTGACCCAACAAAAATTATATTAAATTGTAGTAATACTATATTGGTATTTAAGGGCATCTCCATTAGAGTTTCATAAAGGGGTTAACCCCTTTCCCAAGAAAAAGAAAATTAAAATAATGTTATTTGGGTGAATCTCTCTTCAAAAGGTTCATGGTAGTGAACTTGGTTCACATGGGGTTCGCCACGTGGCGACACCCCATTTATCCGAATTTTTTTTTTTTTTTTTAGAAAACAGAAAAAAAGAAATTAAAAAATCAATTTTTTTTTTTTTTGGTGAACCCCATGGGGTTCACCAATGTGGATGCTCTTAAGCGCTTCAAAATCGACCACGAAATGAAGATATGGGCAAAGTGAACAAAAGAATCTGATGCAATCCAACCACAACATATTAAAACCCCACAAAACCCAAAAAATCCATATCTTCTCTCTGTTGTTCTCCCGACGATACATACATACACACACCTCTACTTACATTCCCCTCAGCTTCCCGCCACCGTCATGACGACGCCTCTTGGTCTATCATCATCCCTCTTCTCCTCGAAGCTCTCCACCACCACCACCACCACTCCCTCCTTCTTCCCAGTCCACCGCAGAGAACTCAACCGGCGTCGGATCATCATCGTCACCGCCGGAGGAGGAAAACCGACGATCCTCGTCGCGGAGAAGCTCGGCCAAGCGGGGATAGACCTGCTGAAAAAGTTCGCCAACGTGGACTGCTCTTATGATCTGAGCGTCGAGGAGCTCTGCACGAAGATCTCGTTATGTGATGCTTTGATTGTTAGAAGCGGAACCAAGGTCGGGAGAGATGTGTTCGAGTCGTCTCGAGGGAGGCTTAAGGTTGTTGGACGAGCTGGCGTTGGCATCGATAATGTGGATTTGGCTGCGGCTACGGAGTATGGGTGTTTGGTTGTGAATGCTCCGACTGCTAATACTGTGGCTGCTGCTGAGCATGGGATCGCGCTTTTAACCGCCATGGCGCGAAATGTTGCTCAAGCTGATGCTTCTATTAAAGCTGGTGAGTGAGTTCACTTTGTTTTGGTGGTGATTGAAGCTAAATCGTGATTTAATTGCAATTTTGGATTATAGAATAATCTCATCTTTGGTGTTACAAAAAAAAAAAAAAAAAAAAAAAGAATAATCTCATCTTTTGCACTAGATTTTCCAATGTTCAAGAAGGCTTTAATAAAACGTTTTATAGAGGATTAACAGGTTAGGCGGGCTCATCTTTGCACAAGATTTTCCAATGTTCAAGAAATTGCTAGACAATATGTTTTAGAGAGGATTAGCAAATAGACAGACAGACACTAATTTTTAGAAGAAAAAAACGGTTTAGAAGAATCGTTTCACTGATGATCAGGTTAGGCGGGCTCTTCTTTGTACTCGATTTTTTTCCAATGTTCAAGAAATTGATACACTATAAATTAGATGTTTTATAGAGGATTGGCAATTAGACGACAATTTTTAGAAAAGCTGTTTAGAGAAATCTTTTCACTTATAATCGATTTGTCCAAATCGCCTAGACCATTTTTTAAGAATATTGAGATTTTCCATTAGAACAGTTGATATGACTTAAATCTGGTATTACTCGTTAACATTAGTTAGTTGGATTTGGCTGCATTTCAATATTCTATAAGCCTACATGGCTTGATGGGGTCGAAGGGGACGACTTCACCTTGGTATTGGAGTCGAACATGTTCTGGTTTCAAACGATATAGGATCACTCTTGGGTTGCAATAGTCTGCTCAGTTAATTTTATTACGTCTAGAGATTTGATTGAAACTAGTATGATTTTACTTATTTATTTACGTCTAGAAATTTGTTTGAAATTACTAAGGTTTTAAAGTGCCAAATATTTTTATATATCTTGTTTCTTTTAACCATAATGTTACTATCGTTTACTTTATCGTGTTTATTATTTGTTTCCACTTTATCTTCTTGCGGCTATAATAAGAGCTTATCTGAGAAATTGCAATATGAAAACGTATTGTGTTTAATGGTTGCAGGGAAGTGGATGAGAAGCAAATATGTTGGTGTTTCACTTGTGGGGAAGACTCTAGCTATTCTTGGTTTTGGTAAAGTTGGATCAGAGGTTGCTAGGCGAGCTAGAGGGCTCGGGATGCACGTCATCACACACGATCCTTACGCACCAGCGGACCGTGCACGTGCCATAGGTGTGGAGCTAGTTAGCTTTGAAGTAGCTATTTCAACTGCAGACTTCATCTCTCTGCACCTCCCTCTCACCGCTGCTACATCAAAGATGCTGAATGACGAGACCTTTGCGAGGATGAAGAGAGGAGTGCGTATTGTCAACGTTGCTCGCGGTGGAGTTATCGACGAGGATGCTCTCTTGAGGGCGCTTGACTCTGGTATTGTCGCTCAGGCGGCTCTTGATGTTTTCACAGTAGAGCCGCCTGTTAAAGACAACAAGTTGGTTTTGCATGAGAGTGTAACCGCCACGCCTCACCTTGGTGCCAGTACTATGGAGGCTCAGGAAGGAGTGGCGGTAGAAATCGCTGAAGCTGTTGTTGGAGCTTTGAGAGGAGAACTTGCTGCTACTGCGGTCAATGCACCAATGGTTTCACCAGAGGTAACTTCCAAGTAATGTTTATTGATTTTTTCTTGTCAAAATTCTCTGACATTGTTCTGTGATTATATAGGTGTTGAGGGAGCTGAAACCGTATGTTGTGCTTGCTGAGAAGCTTGGGAGATTAGCTGTACAATTGGTAACAGGTGGAAGCGGTGTGGATGCTGTGAAAGTGACTTATGCCTCTTCAAGATCTCCTGATGATCTCGACACAAGACTTCTCCGTGCCATGGTTATAAAGGGACTCATTGAACCCATTTCCAGCGTGTTCATAAACCTGGTTAACTCTGATTACGTTGCTAAGCAACGAGGAGTCAAAATCTCAGAAGAACGTATGGTTCTAGACGGCTCACCAGAGGATCCAATAGAATACATAACAGTCCGGATCGCAAACGTGGAATCAAGATTTGCAAGCGCGTTATCTGAGTCAGGAGAGATCAAAGTAGAAGGAAGAGTGAAACAAGGGGTTCCAAGTCTAACCAAAGTGGGGTTGTTTGGAGTGGATGTGAGTTTAGAAGGGAGTTTGATACTGTGCAGGCAAGTTGATCAGCCTGGGATGATTGGTAGAGTTGGTAGTATCTTAGGAGATGAAAACGTGAATGTGAGCTTCATGAGCGTTGGGAGAATAGCTCCGGGGAAGCAAGCGGTGATGGCAATTGGTGTAGATGAACAACCTAGCAAAGAAACTTTGAAGAAGATTGGTGACATTTCTGCCATTGAAGAGTTTGTTTTTCTCAAACTATAGGCTTATACTTTTCCATTGATGCACATAATCTTATTGGATTATTGGATGATTCATTCTACACTTAATCATACAATCGAGTGTATATGAAACTATTTACATAGTTTGGTTTAGTGATGTGTTATTATTATGCACTCAGCCAGACAGAGATTTTGCCTTTATCCTGTTTTTTTTTTCTGTATAGAAGATAAGCATAGATGCAGCTTACGAGCCAGTGAGAAATGGGATCTGAACCACCGTTGCTGGGAATGAAAACTGAAGACTTTCAACTGCTAGATAAGTCGCAATGCCAGCAGCATAACCAGCAAAAGCATAACCACTAACCTGCATGGAGCATCAAGAGTAGGTTAATGCTATGTTGTGTTGTTGAGTGAGATTCAGACAAGGGAAACGATTGTGTCATTACCTTTCGGAAGTACCAAAAGAAATCGACTTTCTCCATGCCCATGAAGGCAACACCAGCAGCAGAGCCGATGATTAGCATTGAACCACCAGTTCCGGCGCAGAACGCAACGAGCTGCCAAAACTCAGAATCTTGAGGGAAGGATGTGAGATCATACATCCCCATAGTCGCTGCAACCAATGGAACATTGTCTATGATTGCTGACACAACACCAATTGCACTTGCTATTAGCTCGACATTGTGTATATTAGCATCAAGGTAGGTTGCAATTTCCCGGAGGATCCCAGCTGCCTCAAGGCTGACACAAGAAGAGGAAAGAGTATCACAAGAGAACATTAGAGTTTGGAGATGATGAGTTGATTCAGTACGTACCTGCTAACGGATAATAGAATCCCGAGGAAGAACAGAGCGCCTTGTGTGTCGATTCGTGATAAGGCCTGAGGTACTTTGAGCTTTTGTCTTTCGGATTCACCTAGTGAATGGCGTCTGTCAAGATCCAAAGAACTCCAAGACCTAACAAGATACCCATGTAAGGAGGCAATCCAGTTAGAGACTTGAACACTGGAACAAACACTAATGCTCCAAGGCCAACTCCAAAAACTAGCTGCCCTCTTGGAGCCATCTTTTCAGAAGACAATACATCTGATGAATCCTGTCCCTTTCCATTTACCTCACTGAGGAAGGGAAGCCAAAAACTTACAGTAATCAGGCTCTGCGGTGTAAACATTTTACGAGATGATAGAATCCAAGGAAATGAGTTTTTAACCTGGACAAGGACATGAGGGCTAGTGGAACAGCGAGAGAAACGGCCGAAGGTATAAAAAGGCCCTAAAAGGAAAGCAAGTAAACCTCCATTAGGAATATATATAACAGACAGCTCCAAAAGTTAATAACCCAAGACCCTAGTTGTAACTTGGAAACTCCAGCCACTAGCATAATCAAGCTTTTTATCCAGCTAACAAAACACATGAGCTAAATTTAAGGGATTTAGGCCTGTAACCTTCTTCATAACATTCATCGTTCTTTGAAAGAAAGAACATATTATGTGAGTATCTCAGAAGAGAAGGAGAACCTGAATAGTCGGCAAGGTGGATATTTGACCATGAATCCATAGCATAGTTGTAGTAACATCACCAATTGGACTCCATGCTCCTCCTGCATTTGCTGCTATTACCACAACAGCTCCTAAAATTCTGCCATTGGTTACTGAGCATGAGCATTAACGTTAATGTGAGCATAGTACTACTCTACACAAAACAGACTAGTATTACATGACCAATATATGGAACCTTCAGAATCTTATGGCCTATATGTACAGAGCTAATATGTTTCTCACCATGACCAACTTAACCAAGAAAGTAACTAATAGGAGTGTGAAGAAAAAAGTTTTCATACTTGCGGTACTCTGATTGAGGAACCAGTTTCCTGAGTAAAGAAACCATGACAATGGTAGACGTCAGGTTGTCTAGAATCGAACTGAGGAAAAAAGTCACAAAGCCGACCTGTGACACACCATCATAAGTCAACTAAGAGTAAATCCTTAAAGAAGGAGAGACTGAGACGCAATCTAGAGATAAATCACTACTTACGACCCATAAAAGCGTCTTGGGCTTACGAGTGGTGATATTGTCTGTAACAAGCTTAAATCCTTGGTGAGCATCAACTATCTCCACAATAGTCATTGCGCCGAGTAAGAAAAACACAATCTCACTTACCTCAGCTGTTGCATGTTGAAGCTCTGAAACAACTACTTCTGCTGAAGGAGCCTGTGTTACAAGGAATACATATTCATATATCCAACAAACATTAGCAAGTAAGTTAACTCCCTTACCCCTATGCTTCGCACAACCCAGAGACTAACAGCCATGACAAGTCCTATTCCACTTTTATTAAAAGCTAAAGACTCTTCGAAGATTATCCCTGCGTATCCTATTCCAAACAACAATGCCATAGCAACATCCTGTATCATTACATTGTCCACTTATAAGCATATTTTTGAGATTGAAACCCAAAAGGAGGGTTGAGTGGGCAAGAACCTGATTAGCAGCGACCCAGGAATGATTAACGGCAGCTGTTCCTGTAAGAGCTGCTGCAAGAACAGCAATAGCTTTGACTAAATCTGTCTTTGGCTGATAATTAGCTTCCAAATAGCTCGAACTAGGTTCATCAACCGAACAAATAGGATCACATGACGAGTCCATCAAATCCTGTGGATCAAACACAAAACAAAGACTTAAAGTTCATTCTTTGACGCAAATTCACTCAAAATAGCATCAAAAGAGGAGATGGGTACTTGCCAAAATTGAATTTTGAAGAAGATGATATCGAAAAAAAACTCGAACCTTAAGCTCTGACTCATCGATTGGTTGCGACTCTTCTTCCAGAGAAGGTGGTGAAGAGTCTCTTGTCTTGTCCTCAGCTCTAACGACAACACTGTGTCTGCACAACCTCGAGCTTACAACTCCAGATACTTTAGAAAAGGAGACACTTTGGGTCGAGAGGGAGATAGGGTATGAAGTACCGACGGCGTGTCTCTTCGTCGATTTGTGCGGCGGAGAGAAGTGAGAGCCGATAGGAAACACGGCCATCGGCGATCACCAGAGAGAGAGAGAGAGAGCACGAGAAAATCTCCGGCGAAGTATTGAGATGATGATCGGTGGGTAATTAAAGTCTTTGATTTGCAATAATATGGTCAGAATCTTTGTCTTTTTACAATCTAAACCACACAAAATTAAGTTATTTAAAATGTTTTTAGCATAAAAAACATAAACAGTTCAAAATCCTATTTTCAATCTTTAGTGACATGATTCCTCTATGCACTCAGTTGTAGAATAATTTAATTTAATATATACGGTGACGTCGAGTGACTCCAAATTTCTCACTTTCTTCCCCGGCAAAAGCCTCAGAACGCCGCCGTATACTCTCAGGGCCTTCTTCATTTCCTCTAGCTTTTGCAACACGTTACCAAGTCCCAGACACTACGGATGCATCATTTCAAAACATTCAGCTTTCATGGACTTCTTCTTGTATTATATGATTAGGGGCCTATATTTTTATTTGTATTAATCAAAATGGATAAAATATCAGTAAATATTCGTAAATATCCACAAATATCTATTTATTTTCTGGATATCCGTTTTTCCGAATATCCGTATTTTTTGAATTAAAGCAAATATCAAAATTAGATATCCATAACATTCGAAACAAATCACAAATACCTTAAAAAAAACTCGGATATCCGATCCGTGTCCACCCCTAATGCTTATAACCCTTCCGGAAGCTTTGGTCTCAGCAAACTTTTGAGTATGCTTAATTGCCTTCCAAGTTGTTTGTCTCAGTGATGATCATGTTGGATGGAGTTTCCTTCAAAATAGTTTTAGAGCTTGGAGAAAAATCACCAGTTAATGATGAGAAAGTAGACTTAAAATTTGAAGGAAGTTACCTCTTTAGCTTGTGAATGTTCCATTTTGTCGGTTCTCCCAAACTGTTTTTTAATTTTATTTAGATTAGATTACGTTCGCAAAAAAGAAGCAACAAATATGGAATTTTGATTCGAACAGATCACCCCCGTCAAACCAAGCTAAATTTTAGTTTCTGGTTTAAGTTTTTATGAATTTGGTTCAGTTTGGTAGTTAAAAAAAATTAGTCCTCAGTTTAATCGATTAATTTGTTTTTTCATTACAAACTACAAAGTAAGTAAATTCTTTAGTAAAAAAAAAGTAAGTAAATTCTATTAAACTGAACTTAATTTTTCAACCCGTAGATCTAAGTTTATGCCTATTTTACTGCTAATGCAACCCATTAACATCCACCTCGTACCACTACCTTCTGAATAGATTTATCCAAATAACATACCTTTAGAAGAAAGAGAAATGAAAAGGTAAAAATGCTCCATGGCACTCTTCACAATACTCATGTGGCTCTTTTCTGGCGTTAGTTTTCTCCACAGCTCAGCCGGCTCCCCACTGGGACCCTATGCCGGCGGCCACCGTCTCAAACTTCCGACCAGAATTTTCTTCTGTTTTTGGAATCCTGATGTTGAGGGCTACTGTTTCATGGTGTCAGATGTCGTGTGGGATGCTTCCTCTGTACTAGATCTTGGATCTAAATTTCTTCACATGTGATTTTTACTGAAATTTTTATCCGCCTACTCATCCCTGGGTTTATACTGTCGATTACAATTTCTACCTCATCTCTGAGGATTTTGTTTGCTCCTGCGTTTCTTAACCACGAGCCTCTCCTCCGCTGATGTCGACTTCTCGCATTCCTTCCCGAAGATTTTCGCCTTCTCTGTCAATGGAGTCTCCTGGAGATGTTTCATTAGGTTTCCTTTCCTTGCTGCCTGAACCACCAGATCCCGATCTGGTCGTGATGCTTCTGGTCGATCCTCCTGTCCCTCCAGTTCCCCCCGACCCTCCACCGATTCTCTTAGATGCAGGTGTGCTATCTATCCATCTTCTATTGATGCATCCTTTACTGGATGATGCCGATCTCTCCAGCTCTCTCACTACTAGACGGGTCTCCTCCTTCCTCCAACTAATTCCGGTGTCAAAGCCGAGAAACTTGGTCTCTTGTTGGAAGCATATTTTGTTTAAGTCATTTTTACGGAACTTGTCTTATTATCAACAAGCGGCAGTGGTTATTGAGATCTCTGTTGCAAGTTTTTTGGGGTTACTGACAGCTGATGGCAAGCTTCCTTCCTTCATTACTCATCGCTTCAAGTTCTCGAGGACTGGACTCCGAATGTTGAAATGTTGGCGGTGGTGGTTTGTCTTTATGCAGCTTTTAATATCTCAGTGCAACTTTTTGGAGTGCAGCTCTCCACTGCTATGTGCAGTTCTCAGTCAAAGTCTATCCTTCATTTGAAACCTTGGTCACATGTTGTTGGAGCCATCTCCCCTTGCTTCAGGCTTTCGCAAGGTATGGCATTCATATGCTACTGGAATGAGTCATTCTTGTTCAATCATTGTCTCTGAGAAGAATTTAATTATTTTAGTAGGAGATCTGTGTTTCGTAGCAAACAAGAGATTATGTTGTTTTTGAATGGTTCTTTACCTCGTATTGAGGATGTTATAACACCTTTGAGCTTTAGGTCTAGCTCCATTTACCACAGTATGAGACTGTTATTTGGTCCTCTTTCTTTGTGGCTATGGATGCTATTGTTTCAGGCTTGTCTATGTGGTCATGGCAGTTTGCCTCACAGCAATCAATCTTATGGAGGAGGTGTTTGGTCTCCTCTGAGTTTGTAGATGTATGCTCCACAGTCGAGTATGTTAAGAACTTCCCGACTTGTTCGGCTAATGGAACGTGGATCATGAGTGCTACTCAAAACGCCAAAGCTGAAATGCTGCAGAAAGCTCCTCCCTCAACACTATCATCTGGACTCTTAAGTCTCCAGATTCTAGCGGACTCTATTGTCCCTTTCTTTGCCCTGCGATCAGAGTTGGTTTTGGCTGAGATTACAGGCTTCTTCACTGTTAGAAACCTTGTCCCTCTCGTCATACCGTTATCATGTTTTTATAATCTATGCATAATTTTCTGTTTAATTGTTGTTGCTTTTGTAATGGGTGATGTCCCCAAACTTTGTTTTTCGAATGCTCTGTTTTGAGTTTTATGATATAAAACCGTTGACAAAAAAAAAACAAAAAAAGAATAGATTTATCCACCGAATCAGATAGGAGTTGTAACAAATGTTATCAACTTTCTGTTTTCTCGGATGTTTGCATCTTAGATCGTTTTATATATTTAGATTAGACTACATTTGATCAGAACACTAATTAATAGGCACAAACTTACCAATCTTAGACTATTTTCTTCGGATTTTACATTATATATGTAAACAATGTAATTCGTTCAGTTCTGAACTTCTGATACTCTAACTAGATCCCTTCTATTCATCATATTTGGCCAACTCTAACATCCACACGATAAATGCTTACTGTTAGCCTAGAAAACTCGACTTAAAAAATGATATAAATTAAGGGGTATATATACATGTCATGACGGTAACGCATATGGCTTGTATTGAATCTATTATTTATGTGTCCTGTTGTTGAAGAGGTACGAAGAAGTAATTTGAGTAGAGACATCATCGAGCATATCGACGTATGAAGTTTGCAGCCATTTCAAGAATCGCAGTGACCAAACAAATGGATTACCACGCGTCTTGACAAATAACATAATCAATGTGATATATTTATTTCGGCAGAGAAAATAAGGCGGTGGTAGCTTTAAGATTTCTATAAATGAATCATAACTTCCCCATCAATAGCTTGTTCTTAAAAAGTACCACCAGGAGTAAAAGGATCAAATATTACTCTTAATTAGCTTAAGACTTAGGGTATTAGATTTTCTTTTCCAACGCTGAAAGCAAAAGATGAATTGTAAGAAATATGTTACATTCTTCTTCTTCCTCGCTCTTCTCATCATTCCCTTCGTGCTTCTTCCTGCCACAGCAGCTCCTGGTACGTACGCATGCATCTCTCGATCTCTTCCTATATACAGTAGATAGACATGCATGCATATGTTCTAAGTATTAATTAGCTTTTTCAGAGTACCAATTTATAGTTTTCCATGATTTAATTACGACAACAAGAAACACTTAGATCAATTAAAAGAAATGACAAGTTAGTTATTTATGTACTATATAATATCCCTCTTAAATAGCCCAAGTCATGGTAAATTGGACACATAATAAACACAAGTAGTCAACGTACATAGTTGTATCATCTCTTCTTAAGGATTGAAATTATATCAAATTTGTTAGAAGCATCTAATGTCTGAAGACCAATATAGTGGCATTAGTGTATAAGGAGTACGTCTGGTGCATTCGTTTTGAACTGAAAACATATCCCTCACACCACCTAGATAGTAATAGAGTCCAATAAACCCAAACGGGATGTTTGATCATTTTAAATTGCCTCTATGCAAAGTTTATCTTAATTTTAATCTAATATGAATGTTGAAATAGAACAAAAATCAGGAAGAGTAGGAGGCATGGAGGTATACTGTGGGAGTAGATGTAGAGGAAGGTGTTCAAAAGCAGGGTTTCGAGACAGATGTATAAAGTATTGTGGCATTTGTTGCAGACAATGTAAGTGTGTTCCTTCTGGTACCTTTGGCAACAAGCATCAGTGCCCTTGCTATCGTGACATGCTCAGCTCCAAGGGAAAACCCAAGTGCCCTTAATACATTATGTTTCCTTAATTAAGAACTTTTACGAATAATACGAATAACATGTATTCGCTTGTCCTACAACGCGAACGCTTGTCCTAAAGTTGGTTAGGTTTATGAATGCTTCTTATATCCGTTCTCTATTAAGTTTTAAAGTCTCTCTCTCTATATATATAGATTTATATAGACTATGAGTGTTTGTTGTCCCCAAATGAGTTATTCTCTAGATATTTTGAAAGTTATGTGTATATTAGATTCGGAAAATGAGAGGAAATTAGGACAATATTGTTCTTGGATTGGAAGATGGTTTGTTCACCTAGCTGATTACAAAAAAAAAAATTGGTGTAGCTGGATCTTAGTTCGTGTAGTTCAAATAGTATGATTTGAACCAATTACTTTATATCTTGTGAAAGTACTACATACTGTATAAAGATCGAGTCTAGACTTTTAACTCATGAATAGCCTTTGATTCAATTGAGTATCTGCTTGTAATTGTTTGGGTGCCAACTTTAATTAAGTTATTATTTATTGGGTTTCTTATTATCATGTAAGTCATATATATATATATATATATATATACTAAGGCACATAATGAAATTATTAATTTTCTTATTTTTAAAATAAAGAAGATATTAATTGTTTTTACCTTGAATATCTGTTGAATATTGGTTCGGTTTTATGCTGATTATTTTTGGTTATTTATCTCCAAAAATATGACTATTTTTCTAAATCCATATTTATTTTGGTTTGTTCGGTTAAAATGTTTGACGGTTTTGATTTTTCGGTAATAACCAAAAACTACTATTATTTGTTTAGTTTCATGTTATATAAATTTTTAGACACTCCTGGTGTCGAACAAATGATACCCTATTATAATTTATAAAGGCATGCAAAATAAAATCAAGTCTAAATAATAGTTGAAGAAAAAGGAAAGAAAATTATTAAGATAAATCATTTTACTACAATTTTATCGAATGTAGAAAGAACCATTGACTCCAACTTGTAAGAGAATTAGAGTGTGGTGAATATTTAGTTATATAGTCGTTTACGTCAAAATGTACATGTATGTATATGTAAAAATATATAAATGTGGTGATAAATATATGAAGGTACTATTAGTTAACGATGAAAATATATTTTTATTCAAAATAACACATGATAGTAAAATTCTTATATTACAATGTGATCTCTTCACACAGTACATGAATTTTGCTTTTAATATATTTTGTGAATTTTCTTTATTTTTAAAATTTTTCTAGTTTCTGATTTTTTTTCTAACAACTTGATTTTGTTACTAGTTTATGGTCTGATATGAAAACTTTGTAAAAAATATAATACTCCATCCATTTCACTTTAGTTGACACTTTAGGTTTGTGCACACATATTAAGAAAATATATAATTTTACATATTTTCTAGATAAAAACACAATTACATATACACCTAATCACATTTCAACCTATAGAAAAATATAATAACATATAAGGTTGATAAATTTTTCATTGAAATTATAATACGACACTTATTTCAAAACAAAAATGTTACCCTACAATGACAAGTAATTTTGAAACGGAGGATGTATTTGGATATACTAAAATTCTGACTTTGTATGTGGTATTTTTCATCTCATTTTCCTTAATTTATATATAGCGACTGGCAATTATTTTTTGTTTTCATTTATAAAAGTTTCAACCATGCCAACTTCAGCAATGTACGAAGCTTTCAATTCTATAAGTATTTTCATTTCAACATTTTAGTTGATGTGAATCTTAAGGATTTTGATGATATTATTTATTAGTTACACATAAATTTTTTTAATTCACTAATACAAAGATTAAAAATACAGAAAATAAAAATGAATTAGTTAAGAATAGTGTATGAACACATTAGATTATGAGTTGAGAAAATTAATGTATGAACACATTAATTATCAAATGATTGCAAGACTGACACATCAGTATTCTAAAGTTAAAACGTTTGAAGTTAACATGTGTCAATTACGGTGTAAACTAGGTGTTTTGCCCGCACTTGCGGGCTTAATAATTTTACTAATATCTATAAATAAATATATAATCAATTTATGTAAATTATAATAAATTATAGTTCATAGACTCAAAATATTTAATAATAAACTAAACAAATTCTTTCTATATATAAAAATTTTCATCATCATATAAATAATTTTCCTTACACAACTTATATTTGAAAATACTCATGAANATTTATGTTTAATTATATTAAAATTTGTAATTATTCATTAAGGATATAAACGATATTAACCGCTCTAACTTTCAACGTGAAAGTTACAAATTAATCAGCAAATTCACTTAAATTTTATAATAGAAAATATATTTTTAAGATAACAATCTAATACAAAATAATTAACATATTTTCTAAAAATATAATATTATTAACATAATTTCGTTTTTATTTTATAATAAATTATTAAAACATGAAAAGAAGCAAAATAACCTAAAATCATGGAGAAGTTGACAACTAAGCAAATTTACTTCTCAAATAATGTTATAGATGCATTATTACAATGCTTCTTCTCTAATATATAAGAGATATATATCTGTTTGGTAAGCAATTTGGTTTTAGTTCATACTCTTATTTTAACTTTATATTTTAATTTAGAGACTAAAAAATATTGATTAGTAAAATTAGAAGTAAACAAAATATCTGAAAATTTGATTAAACCGCAGAGTTTGGATATCCGTAATTCCAACAAAAAGATAAATACTAATCTTCAATATCCTAAAAAATGAAGCAAATCACAATACTAATATTTTTTTAAAAGAGTATCCGCTTTAGTTAGTTATATGCATATATATGATTCTCAGTTATGTACGTAAGATCCAAATTAACCCTCCTTCCTGAACCATGAAACACTTAACGTCAGATGATGAAGCAACTGGATAGCAAAGAGATGCATCAATCTTTTAACTGGACATGGTATCTTTTTGTCTTCTGGGAGACAGCATGTTGAGCCTTGACCTATAATTTTAGCCCATGTTGAGATCCCAGAGGTTTAGATGAATCTTCGTTTCCAGCTTCTACAGATGACTGAGCTTATGTTGTTCTCGTAGGAGGCAGAGTCCGCGAATCATATGACATGGTTATCTATGACCAGAACTTGACGATGATGGAATTAGAATCTGTGTAATATATACAAAAAAGTGAGAAACTACCCCGTTGCTTCCTGTCACAAATATTCTCTCTCTCTCTCTCTCTCTCTCTCTCTCCAATGCTTGATGAACAAAAACTTGTGGGGAGAATCTCTGTTGACGTCATATCACGTTTTGCTGCTAGATCGCAAGAGGGAGGGCAGAAATGAAAGGGAATGGAGAAAAAACGTTGTTGTAACAACCAAAAAAAAAAAAAACAGTGAACAGAGGAGAGGAGGAGGAGAGAAGAAGCAGATGAGAGGAGGAGGGAAGACACAGACAACAATGACGACAAAGAGACAATTATAGAATCTATATAATATATTAATATACTAGGATTAGACCCGCGCCTTGCGCGGAATAAGATGATTAAATTTGTTATATTTTTGAAGATAAGAAGACATTATATCTGTTTTATTTGTATATTAGTTTGTTTTGGATTGGTTGTTTCGGGTTTTAATATCGTCCAATTATATATATATATATATATATATATATGTATATTATAAATATTGTCTTTTTGGTTAAGTTGATAGAAACGAAAAAGTAATACTCCAATTAAAGATCATGAAGAAAACATTATTCCGGTTGATAAACGTTTTTTAATACGTATAATTTTTGTCTCATATATCTGTTTTTTTTTGTCATCCACACGACATGGACATACGTAAAATGAAANTATATATATATATATATATGTATATTATAAATATTGTCTTTTTGGTTAAGTTGATAGAAACGAAAAAGTAATACTCCAATTAAAGATCATGAAGAAAACATTATTCCGGTTGATAAACGTTTTTTAATACGTATAATTTTTGTCTCATATATCTGTTTTTTTTTGTCATCCACACGACATGGACATACGTAAAATGAAAGTATATTACTGTCAACACCATTAAGAGTATTGAGACAATCCCAAATCTCCTTTTAGTCTCGAGATGGATTGCGAAAAGGCTCATTTCGAGAAGCAAATTCTCGACTTGTATAACGAAATCTCCAATCTCAAGAGCCTTCCTTTCACATATATATGTCGACAATTTTTTCAATAACTCATATCCACGTCCTTGCCTATGGATACAAATATCGACGTTAAAAATTTGTGCCCAAAAGTCCAAAACTACAGAACCAATTTCACCAACCTACGTAGTGAAGATATAGAGTTTTCAGAGCACCACTACTATACGGCCTTGGGATCTCTCGAAGACAACACACTTCACCATTTAGATCTACCCTCAGTACACTAACTACCTCAAACTTAGCAAGGTTGAGTTCAATCTCTTCACGCTACACACGAGCCATGTCCTAACCAATATCGCGTTCATGGGCTCCGGTACGTTGCCCTTCACATCCATCATCTTAGATATGTCCCACCTCCCAAATAACGACGTTCCAGAACTTTGACATCGACCCTTAAGCCAATTCACTTGCTTCCGAACTTGTCTCACGCGATATTGAACTTTGTAGTTTTAAAGTATCTCGTGTGTATTATAATTGAAGTAAATAAGGTAAACAATTGTTGAAGTAATTAAGGTAATATATTGTGAGAAGGTAGTAAATAAGGTAATAAATTGTGAGGAGGTAGTAAATAAGGTAATAAATTATGAGAAGGTGGTGTGAAAACATTTAATGCAAAATGCTTCTCTTTTAATATATAAGGGATAGAGAAATTACCGATAATGACTCTAATCATACTAGAAATTACTAGACTAACTTATATAAAATTGTAATTATTAGAATGACACAAGATAAGATTAAATTTACTAAACCATCCTTCACTTGATTAACGAATAATTTTCCTTGTCAAATAATAAAAGTATGTATTAAAACATAAACTAAGGTAAAATAGAAAGGGAAAGTTAAAAAGGAAAAAAAAAAGCGGCTCATTTTTATTTCTTCTCTCTCACGAGTCTTCTTCCCCGACGAAGACTTCTCCATCTCCGACGAATCCCACGAGTTCTTCTCCATCTCAGACGAAACCGACGCCTCCATCTCCGGTTACAATCGTCACCTTTTTGTGATGCCTCCATCTCGTTATAACCGACGCCTCCATCCCACGACTCCTTCTCCATCTCCGACGCCTCCATCTCTGACGAAAATTGAGACTGTAAGTCTACAATCTATTCAATTCTGAGTTGTTTTTACACGTTTTTGACATAGATTGTTTGATTCAATGTTTAATTTCAGAAACCCTAATTCCCAATTTAAAACCCTTTTTGATTTTGAAATCAACAAATTGGTTTTGTTTAATTTCAGAAATCCTAATTCCCAATTTAAAACTCTTTTTGATTTTGAAATCAACAAATTGGTTTTGTTTAATTTCAGAAACCCTAATTCCCAATTTAAAACCCTTTTTGATTTTGAATCAACAAATTGGTTTTGTTTTTCGAAAACACAATGCGATTGAGGAAAACACAATCTATTTTTTTAAAATCTTTTAATTTTTTTTAAATCTTTGAATTGAACAAAGATTTGGAGTACACTTGGTCCGCTTCTTGTGTTCACCACTTTCTCGCCAATCAATTGGCCATCGAGAGCAGCCATGAGATGTGGTCGTTGATAGGCTGTATGCCGTTGCGGTTCTCTTTGAATGAGTTTGAAGAGATTACGGGGTTAAATTGTGTTCCATTCGACATGAATGATGGTTTCGATGTGGATCATCAATCATTTGTGCTGGAAATGAATGTTCCCCTTTCAGAAGGACCTTCACTGAAAGAGCTAGAAGACATTTTTCCTATTTGCAGAAATTGGTCGCGGGAGAAGCGTGTAATGATTGGTTTACTAGGTCTGCTATCCATTGGGATCTTTGGTATTTCAAGGTATAACAGAATCCCTTTGCATTGCGCTAAAAGAGTGATGGACCCGGCTGCTTTCCAGCGTTATCCATGGGGCCGTGTGGGATTTGACAGCCTTGTAACTTCGACAAAAATACTCACGTATGAAGGGAAGAAGACTTACACACTTCATGGATGTGTACATGCACTGTTAGTATGGATTTATGAGTCTGTCCCTGGTTTAGGAGAGAAATATGGGAATCAAATAGAAGGAGCGGATGTTCCTCTTCTATCATGGCGGGGATCTCGCCCTCGTATCAACTTCTCAGATTTCATTGCGCAAGAAAAGAAAAAGCATCAGAAGGTATGAATAAAACTATTTTAGTTTCTTATAACTACTTTATGAAAGTTATACTAATCTTCTACTTACAGGTTCGTGTCAGGCATATGGTTGTGAAACCATATGAAGATATATATCCTAAGTGGGACGATAATAAAGTGTTTACTGAACTGGATAACATGATTCAAGACATCCTCAGTGGCCAGCTTGATGAAAACTTTTGGGAAGCAAGTGGTGATTCCAAGTCCAGAAAGAGAAACATTCATGTGAGCCCACCTGTGGTTCCAGCTACTGATGATGTGAGTCGTTCTACTAAGCGAAAGAAGGACAAAGAGCATGTCGATGGCTGTCACGCATCAGAGATGGTATGTCCTTGGCAGTTGTTTGAATAATTATCAAAACATGTTAATTCTTTTGTGTCTGAGTTGTGCTTATGGTCTGCGATTTCCTTGTAGGTTGTAGCTCACAACATCGCTATACTTGGGTTGGTTGAGTCGGTTAAGAACCTGACTGGAAAAATAGATGGAATTGATGTTAGTGTCGCTGACAAGGTCACTGCAAAACTAGACGCGGCCATACAAGATAAAGTGGATGCTAGGATTCGTTTATATGAGATTGAAGTGATGAAGAAGTTTGCCATTTTAGAGGAAGACGTAAAGAATATTAAAGAAAAGGGTTGTGTAAACATTCCTACTGAGGTGGCTAACTCCAATGATGGAAAGTCCATTGCGCAAGAAGAGGATGACGGTTCTAGCAAAGCTTTGGTATGTTTTCTTTCTTCAGTCTTGTTAATTATTTTGTTAATGATACTAACATTTTCATTTGATTACACAGTCATGGATGCTTCAGAATAAGACCAATTCACAAGATGGTTTACCAGTTCAGTGTGTTGTTAAAAAGGAGAAAAAAGAAAAGAAGACAACTAAGAAGGAGCCTCTTAAGAATAAGGAGGTGAAAAGGAAAGAGAAGAAAGTTGAAACGCCACTTAAAAAAGTTAAGGTAGAGAAGGCCTTCAAGATCCCAGAACTTAATGACGAGTCCATTTCGACAGAAGGTTGGGAAAATCATCTAATGTGGCAAAAGAGTGCGAAGTGTAGGGAGGTGTTGAAAGCACTTGCTTCAACTTTCTTGGAGCCTACACGTAGGCGTAAACGCAGTTGACGAAGACTCAAAAGCCACCATTTGTAGGGAGTTCAACAGTCAAGCGTATCATAGCTGCTGAAAATTAGGTGAATGAAGCTTATGACCCATTAGCTAAGGTGGAGGCTGAGAAATTGCAGAAAGTTTTGGATTTCATCAACTCTGATTTGTAAGTTTCATGTCTTCCATCTTAACTTTTTCCATTAGCTAAAGTGGTCTAATATGCGAAACACCGGTGTAGGGAAAAAGGGGCGTCTGGTCATGGAGACGCAAATGCTGGTTTTTTCTTGAAGTTGATGTTACCGAGAGATGATTGGCCAACAAAAACCTACGGCTGGCTGCATGATTCTGTAAGTTTATTTCCTGCTTTTTTATGTGAATATTATAAACATTTCATCCTTACTGATTGTGAGTTGTTCTATGTTGTAGCACATTGCAGCAGCAATGCTTATGTTTCACCAACGTTCCATGCAATCGAAGTCTCCATACTTCTCCCCTAGAATTGCATTTTTGTCTCGCTGGTTTGTTAACGCATGGGTGCACAACTACAAGAAGTGGAACGAGGACACGAATGAGTTGTTGGACATGTACTGCAAAGCTTTTATTGGAGAACAACCAGCTGATTTTGTCACGGGTAAGAAGTGGGTTATAGATGTCGACCATCTTTTCCTCTGCCATCATGTTAATGGAGACCATTGGGTTGCGTTACACATTGTTTGTCTAATGGCATAATACATGTGTATGATAGTATTCCTACAGTGCTGAATGAGAAGCAGATGATAGAGGCATGTCGGCCTTTCATGAGGATGGTACCAGCAGTGCTTAACAAGATGATGCCTCCTGAATTGAGAAAGAAAAGTAAGAAACAGTTAATCTTTCGGAGGCACAGGAAGATCCCTCAAAATAAGGACCCGGGAGATTGTGGTGTGTACTCATTGAAGTATATTGAATGTCTCGCGCTTGGACGTCAATTTGATGGGTTAAACGATCAGGTTATTCTACCACTACGACTGAAGTTGGCTGCTGATATTTCGAAGAGGTAATTGAGGCAGATGTATGACTTGCTGGTTTCTGCCTTTAGATGGATGTATAATTAAGCAGGTTCTGGTTTATGAATGATGGTTTTAACGGATGTACTTGCTTTTTCTGCTTTTAGATGGATGTATAACTCGCTGGTTTTTGGTTTTAATGGACGTACTTACTTTTTTTTTGCCTTTAGATTGACGAATGTATAATTTAGCAGGTTCTGGTTTATGAATGATGGATGTATAATTAAGCAGGTTCTGGTTTATGAATGATGGATGTATAATTAAGCAGGTTTTATTGATGTTTTATATTAGATGTCGACCATCATGTTAATTTCTTGATTGCAATCAACTAAAACACCACCAACAGGAACAAGCTAAAACATACCAACTAAATAACTGCTTGTCATTGTAATGGTCTGGGAACAAAAAAAAACTAAAAATGCTTGTCATTGTAATGGTCTGGGAACAAAAAATAACTAAAACATACCAAAATGAAATTTAATAACCACCAAATCCTCAAACTAAATCAAATGCTCATCACTTAAGAGGACACGTAGTAGAATTGTGTCCCACTTGGTTACAAATTCTACATGTGTGCTCCTTCCTTGGTCGCTTCTTATCTGCAACTTTCTCCAAAATCGATTTATATCTTGATTTTTTTGGTCTTCCTGGTGGTTGGCGGACATCAGGTGGTAAACAGATTCTAGTCGCAATATTTTCTGGAATTGGAACAAAATCATCTTTGGGCATGACAGCAGTGAAATATGCATTGTAAAGGTGCTGCTTGCGATAGTAATGGTGGCAAAGTGATATACGGGAAATCTTTCTAACTTCCCCAGCAGCTATAGCATGAGCACATGGTAACTTCTCCAGGTCAAATCTTCGGCAAGAACAGGTCTTCTCGGTCAGATTAACAACATGTAAAGACGATACTCCAGTCACTTGTGATTGGTGCAAGTCTATTGCTTGAACCTTTAGTAGATTCGCAATAGGTATCCGGCCCTGCGTATATTAATGCTTAGTATAACAGCAAACAATTAAGGAAACACATAACCTGATTCAAAATATATTACCTCTAAAACCTTCTCTACACCACGAGTAAGAGAAGTTTTCATCAACTCAGCGTCATGTTTCCTTGTTGCAAACCACCGTGTCATCATTAATCGTATTGACTCCAGAAGGTGAACAATTGGCAAGCTTCTAACACCAAATAAAGCTCTGTTTATGGACTCAGCTATGTTACTGGTATGAAGGTTATATCTATCACCTCTAAAGTGAGATCTTGCCCACTTATGTACATCAGCACGTTCCAAATATGCATGCAAATCTGGATTTAACTCTTTAATTTTCTCGAAGGTTGCTTGAAAATCAGTTAACCGAAAAGAGTAGGCGGCTTTTTTGACCAATCCGAACAAATCACGCCCTCGGTAGCGTAACAAGATGTTTTTATATAAGTGGTACGTGCAAATTCCCCTATTAGCCAATGGATATACCACTGAAATAGCTTTCTCTGTTGACTTGTGTCTGTCAAAGATTAACGCCAGTCCTTGATCGTCAGGTATCACACGGCTGAGTTGGCGGAAAAACCAAGTCCATGATTCATCATTCTCTGTGTCAACCACAGCAAACGCAATTGGAAAAATTTGAAAGTTACCATCTTGTGATGTTGCAATCAGAAGCGTTCCTTTGTATTTCCCTTGCAAAAACGTTCCATCAACCACCACAACCTTCCTCATAAATGGAAAACCAGTAATGCTAGCGCCGAATGCAAGGAATAAGTACTTAAATCTATTGTTTGCATCAACATCCAGTCGCGTGTAAGTTCCTGGATTTGACATTGTAATTATGTGGAGGTAAGTAGGTAATTCCTGGTATCCACTCTCTGGAGAACATAGTACGAGATCTCTAGCAGCCATAAGTGTACGCCGAGCTTTCCAGTAATCTATCTATAATATACTAAACAACATTAATCCATTTAAACAACATATTTAAAGGTCAGAAAATAGAGTATATTTGATGCGAAAAAGATAGTTGACCTTGGTTCCGAAGCTCAGTTTCATAGCATCAATAACATGACGTGGTAAAACAGACTGATCAACCCCACCAACATAGTCTTTGTACAACCGTCCTAGAATCTCAGGAGTAGCTTGTCGGGAACGAGATGAACGTTCTGTTACGGAGCAGGTATGTTCATCTACATATACTCGGATTGTAAACTTTGATGATTCACCAACTGGTGAAGCTCTAAGCTTCCACGTACAACCTTTTATCCAACATATTACACGAAACAGATCCCTTGTAGATTTATCCACATCAAAATCGAAACGTCGAACAACTGAATATATCTTTAGACGAGTCTCCAATACATCTTTCGAATCGTAACTCTGCCCCACTTCAAATTTGAATGACCGCAAATCCTCCAAACTCATTGGAGGCTCACTTTCTTATGTCTTCTGGACTCTTGCATAAATCATGTTTGTACAAGATCCCTAAACCTCTTCTACATGGTCTGGCGGAAGCCCGTATGTAGTAAAGTTTTCATCATCAGATGTTGCTCCGTCAGAATCATCATAGTAATCAAAACGATCACCTTCTTCGTCCGTATCTTCTTCTTCTTCACCCAATGAGTCATCTCTCTGTATGGGTTGTTTCTGATCTTCGGCAGCTCCTTCCCTAGAAATTTTGTTGGCTTTAAACTCTACACACAGACGAAGGTTATCAATTTTGCAGAGATCCAAGAATATATGAAACTGCCTATCGTTTCCTATCTTGACAGGTGCATCCATGCTTTGACTGTGTGCATTTCGCTTTGGAAATAGATACCTCAGTTCCAAGTAGTTTTGTGCAAAATCAACTCCATAATCCTCAAATATGGCTTTCACAAAATCTTCAAATTTAGTCTCCTCATTCGCAGCAACTAATATGCTACCTCTCTCATTATCTACTTCAAAGGACCACTTAGTTTTCTCAACTTTCCAGTTTCCAGAGATGAGAATTATGTGATTCATATCTGCTATGAATTAAAATCACATGTCGTTAATCACCATGAAACTGTCTCACGTATTCTTGTGTGAGAGGCAATAGGTAGAAGACGACAAAAAGGGTAAGCCCTAATTGTTTAAAAATTGTTAAACCGAAAAATTAAATTGATTTAAACCAAATTAAAATTAATTAAAACCAAAATTAATCTAAACCGGACCCAGTGCAAAATAAACCAAAATCTGTGAGAAATTAACCAGAAATTCGAGTGGTTATTAGTGTGGCCCAATCTAGTAATTATATTTAAATTTACAAGTCTGCCATCAAAGACATAAATTTTAAAAGTCTGCCACCATACGAATACAAAAATCGACTAAAGAACTAAATCGGTTAAACAAATCTGCTGGTGATTTTAAATCGGTCTTAAAAATCTAACTGATCCAAAATAAACCTGGAAATTTTAAAAAATCGGTTATGTCAACTGGCAGACTAAAACATATAAATCTGCTGACAACCATAAACCGGCCAGCTAAATCAGCCACCTCAAATAAATCTGCCGTGACTCTAAAGTCTGCTACCAAGTACTTGGCAGATTTAAATTTAACAGCAGTTTTAAATAGCAGATTTATATATCGGCAGATTTACGTAAACAAATCTGTGGACGTCGATTTTTCCAAAAAATCTAATGGTCCTTTCGTAATATTACATTTTCTTCAGAACTGTTTGAAAGAGCAGTTTCGACATTAAAAAAAGTTAGTAATTTTAAAAAATTATGAGTTATTCTAGTAATTACTAGATTTATTTGAATCATCTGAGTAAACTCATACTAGAGACCGTGTATAGAATAACAGAGGAGAGGAGGAGGAGAGAAGAAGCATGCAATGATGACAAGAGAGAGACAGTTATGGCATAGAATCTGTTTAATCTATTAATATATAACATAACTGGCACCATAAACAGCATAAATGAGAAGAACAGAAAACGATGACGAAAGAGAGACAAAGTCATAGATCTACCTGATATAAAAATTTATAAACCACTACGTAATATACCATCACAAAAAACAATTACTCGAGACATTGTTACAATGTATAAGGCTGAGAAAACAACACTGAAGACTCTCTTAAGTCAAAATATAGACTGCTATTACGATAAATGGTCATCAAATAACTTTAAATGGTTATCTGAACCTAAACTCAAATCGAGGTTGCAAAGATTCGAACTAAACCCACAAAGATCTAAACCATACAAAATCTAACCGAACCAAATAGTATCCGAATGCTCATTTTTAATCAAATTTAAAATGTTTATTGATAACAAAATATGTATTTGAATACAATATATTGTTAAAAAAATTAACTCCACGCATGGCGTGGATTATCATCTAGTGTTAAAATACTTACTGAGACATGGAATACCTGAAATAATTTGTATATATTATGTATATTTAGATATATATTCCAGGTATACTTTTTTACATATACTTTTTAAGTTATGGAATTGAGTTTTCGGATACAGTTTCGGGTTTCAGTAGATTCTCAGATATATTTTAAATTTTGTTAGTATATTCAGGTTTTGATTCAGGTTTCAAGTAAACTTTTGTTATTTTCGTGTATTTGCATATTTTTGAGTATTTTAAAAAAAAAATCAGAATTTTTATAGTTTTCGAATCTATTTCAAGTACTTCGCGTCTTTTTGGATTTACCCGAACTGATCTGAATCCATTTCTTAACAACATTGTTTATTACTATATTAAACTGTATATGACCAATACAAATAATTCACCAGTCATATTGGTGGAATCGGAAAATAAACAACAGATTATTACCCCTCTAATACACACCTTGATAAAACATCAGCAGCCATGTTTCTTTCTTTATGAATCCGTTGTGTATTTGAAAATAACAATATTTTACATGTATTTTAAATATGAATCGAACTAACTCGGATCTGAAAAAACAACTCGAACTCGTACCAAATTTTTTAATTATCTAGCTGAGTTCAAATGTGTAAGACTCGAAAAACCCAAACCTGATATAGGAACTAACTCAAACTCAGTTTGAGGATCCGAATACCCGTGCCTATAAACTTGACTTCATTTCTAAGTATTATTGTATACATCGACAGATCATTTTGGGAACTAATGTGTTTTGGGGTGAAATTTTTTTTCTTTTCAATATTAGCCAAAAATAATAGAGGACAGAAGTTTCATATATAATAACAGTAACACAACGATATAACAAAATGTTTATCATAAGTTCGATATCAACAACTCAAATATATACAGTAGGGTAACGTGGAAGATGATGAGATACCAAGAGACCTCCTACACAACGCGGTAGTGCACCAGGACAAACCGACCGAACCTAGTTATGTATAAAAGATAGTATTAATACATTGATAACTTATCCTAAAATTACTTTTACAATTTTCAAATAAACTTATTACTGTTGAGTTAAACAAGAAATAAATTAGAGAACAAGTTATTACTTTCCTACCGAATTATGGAATAGGAAAGTTTAATAATATTAGGAGTTATCTATTTGTTGTTTTTCTTAATGAGTTAAGGAATTGAAATTAACTATATAAGGAGATGCAAAGTGTGTTGCATTATTTATGATTTGAGAATCTTAGTTTTGAGTTATTTTTTAAGACATTAAGAGATTATTATTATTATTATTAAGAGTTTGATTCAATAATTACCTGCTATGGCATCGGTGTAACCTACGGTGGTAAGTGGGAGCAAGAGGAACGGGAATAAGAGGTCGAGACTGGGTGACTCTGATATTGTTCTCACCATGGCTGCGAATGAATGTATGCCTGTCTATGAAGCCGTTCCTGTAGTTGAAGAATCGGTGACAATAGAAGAGAAACAGTCCTTGAATTCCATGTCGAGGATTTAAATTGCCGGAGACAGTCAAACTCCTCCTCTGTCGGAGAATCAGGTAAACATCGCGAGCACTGAGCCAGTCGTGCTCTGAGGCTCGGATGATATGCCCAACGGTAGCTGCAAATAAAATCACAAGAAAAAATCAACAGATATATACATTATAGTTTCATGTCCTATACCAGTTAATATGCTAGACATTAATCGAAAAACATTTGGTCAAAAACAAAAAGAATTTGAAAAACGTGCGATTCAATTTCATAATACCTGCCTAATTTGTATTAACAACCTAACCAATGGGAGCTGAGAAATAACATGGGAGACAATATATGAATAGAATGCGAGACAATTTCGTTAGACTTGCCTTTGTATTACACAAAATAAGTTAAATAATCAATGGTTAATGAGAAATACCATGCAAGTCAAGATTATTTCAATTGATTTATACTATACATAGAGTGATGACGTGACGTCATTTGAAAATGATATTACTATTTTGAAATATCGTCATAGAGTGATGACGTCATCATATGATTACTACTCTCCATCCCGTTAAGACGATCGCGTCACAAAAAGTGACGCGTAGAGAGAGAAGGGGAAAGAGAAAATAACACTCTAAAGATCGAGCTGAATACTAACCACCATCTTCCTCCGACTACGCCACCGTTCTAATCTCACACCGTCGCGTCAGTACGTACACGAAAAGAAAAGAAAAGAAAAGAAACGAAACGAAAAGAAAAGAAAAGAAAAGAAAGAAAAGAAAAGAAAGAAAAGAATCACGTAGAGAGAGGAGGAGGGAAGTAAAAGCACATCTCCCGAGTAAAATCGATATGGGAAGAACAACAGTGAACGAAACAGAGGAGGAGGAAGGGGAGATCAAGAAGAATCAAAGCGAGAAAGTACACGACGGAGAGAGAAGTTGATCTAATTAGCGTAATTTATCCCTTATATATTAAAAGAGAAGCATTTTGCATTAAATGTTTTCACACCACCTTCTCATAATTTATTACCTTATTTACTACCTCCTCACAATTTATTACCTTATTTACTACCTTCTCACAATATATTACCTTAATTACTTCAACAATTGTTTACCTTATTTACTTCAATTATAATACACACGAGATACTTTAAAACTACAAAGTTCAATATCGCGTGAGACAAGTTCGGAAGCAAGTGAATTGGCTTAAGGGTCGATGTCAAAGTTCTGGAACGTCGTTATTTGGGAGGTGGGACATATCTAAGATGATGGATGTGAAGGGCAACGTACCGGAGCCCATGAACGCGATATTGGTTAGGACATGGCTCGTGTGTAGCGTGAAGAGATTGAACTCAACCTTGCTAAGTTTGAGGTAGTTAGTGTACTGAGGGTAGATCTAAATGGTGAAGTGTGTTGTCTTCGAGAGATCCCAAGGCCGTATAGTAGTGGTGCTCTGAAAACTCTATATCTTCACTACGTAGGTTGGTGAAATTGGTTCTGTAGTTTTGGACTTTTGGGCACAAATTTTTAACGTCGATATTTGTATCCATAGGCAAGGACGTGGATATGAGTTATTGAAAAAATTGTCGACATATATATGTGAAAGGAAGGCTCTTGAGATTGGAGATTTCGTTATACAAGTCGAGAATTTGCTTCTCGAAATGAGCCTTTTCGCAATCCATCTCGAGACTAAAAGGAGATTTGGGATTGTCTCAATACTCTTAATGGTGTTGACAGTAATATACTTTCATTTTACGTATGTCCATGTCGTGTGGATGACAAAAAAAAACAGATATATGAGACAAAAATTATACGTATTAAAAAACGTTTATCAACCGGAATAATGTTTTCTTCATGATCTTTAATTGGAGTATTACTTTTTCGTTTCTATCAACTTAACCAAAAAGACAATATTTATAATATACATATATATATATATATATANTTTCATTTTACGTATGTCCATGTCGTGTGGATGACAAAAAAAAACAGATATATGAGACAAAAATTATACGTATTAAAAAACGTTTATCAACCGGAATAATGTTTTCTTCATGATCTTTAATTGGAGTATTACTTTTTCGTTTCTATCAACTTAACCAAAAAGACAATATTTATAATATACATATATATATATATATATAATTGGACGATATTAAAACCCGAAACAACCAATCCAAAACAAACTAATATACAAATAAAACAGATATAATGTCTTCTTATCTTCAAAAATATAACAAATTTAATCATCTTATTCCGCGCAAGGCGCAGGTCTAATCCTAATATATATATAAAAGGGGGATGGAATAAACATACGGTGGTTGCGGTGGTTCGTCTGAAGATTCGCGGTGCCTCCCCTCCGATTGTTCTCTGCTATCTGGCGATTCTGTAGATCCATTTTTTGAAATCTCTTCTCTCTTACTCTACTCTAGTCCACTCTGCAATTCTGTTATGCGTGCATGCTGTTATATATGTGGGCCCATAGTTCTTTTTGTTTGTGAGTGACGGTTAAATATCAGTTAGAGAAGACACGTGGGGATCATATAATAATCAAGAAAAGCAGACGTTTATGCCCGTTTCGCATGTTGTTTATCGTATATGAATCTTTATCGATCGTCAATACTTTCCACAGACCCTTTTCGCATCATTTACTTTTTTTTTTTTTTTTCGGCAACCTTTTCGTATCATTTACAAGACTATATATCTAAACCAATTCACTACTGTGACTTACCGCGAGATCAAATTGTATGTCATCTAAAAGGATTGGATTGTCATGGCATTAATCACGACTATAGAAAAACAGTTTCTACGGTTATCTAAATATCCTGTTAATACCCTCATCATAAACAACTAAATTTAATAAATTAAATATAATGTGTAATTTAGAGAAAAAATAACTAATTTCACATATTTTTCAAAAAGGTGTCGTCGTCTCTTTTGTGTATTCTACGTTTTTCTTCGGTTCATTTTCCCTATTTTTTTCTATACTAATATTAGTGACACTAAGTAAAAAGAATAAATCATAAAGTAATTCGAAAAGATTATTCTAAGTTTCAAGCGAGAAATAAAAAATGTGTATCTATAATAATAAAACGTGTTTGTTATCCGTTTAACTTGCAACAAAGACGCAACAATACCAATCCCTAGGGGAATACCTTTCAGAGTAGCAAGAAAACTTTTCACACCCACCACAGATCCAAGAGAAACAAGGTCAAGGGAATTTATGTGAGTATCATACGTCCGCGAACTGAACCAACCCCGATTGTCGCCAACATGGGTCATCCCATACAATGAGAGCACTCATATGCGCTGAAACCTCGACAACATACAACAAGACTCAGGATCATGACGGTCTGAACTCAATATTAAAACACCAAAACAAATCCGAAGAGAGGAATATTCTTAGAAAAAGACAGATGAGGCATCTATAAGAGGGATCCAAATAAGAACATTGCAATATTTTATTTCTCGAAAAAGGAAAAACCTGACATGTACAAGAAATAAAACGAAAAAGTGAGGACGAACATCAACGACCACCTCTCCTCCCTTAGCAAAGCAGCGAACAAGAGCGCTGCTCGAGGTATTCACATCTCAAGGAATGGAGGGAAGACGATGCATATCTTTCAATGGTCCTGCTATGACATAATGTCTGATACAATCCATGAGTAGGTCATATCGTTCCTTGCTCCCCCAGCCCTAGCAACTCCATCCGGCAGCCGATCCTACTATGCCGCTTCTTAGCCAAAACTGGACCATCAAAATCGATGAGGGGAAGTACGGTCGCCATCGTCAACGAAAGAAACGTTGAACAAAGAAGATCTCCAACAAAACAACAAAACTCTCTGGATAAGAGGAGCCAAGGACTTGTCATTACAAAATAATTTCAAGAATTCATCGTTTGCTACAGTCCAAAAATAATAAAGAACAGGGAACAATGTAGAGACATATATAGTAACCAACGAACACCATTCGTTAAACAACACATATGTCCATTTTAGATGTGTCCCACTCAGGGATATTAAGTATCTTTGAACAATATATATATATGATGTGACGATCCTTCGCTCTATAACTAGTTTTGAATATGAGTTAAATTCATTACTAATATTAGTATCAATGTCGATGGTAAACCACTAGATAATTTCTCACATAAACATTTTTCTAAGTATGTAACCTGTATAAAATGATCTATCTTGTTGTGATTCCGAGATATTGGGTTTGGACTGTTTCATTTGGACTGTTTCCACTTACATCTCAAGAGGCGCTTTTAGATATGTTCTACATTGGAATATTAAATACTTTTAGGCAATATATATATATATATGATGTGGTAATGTTCAACTTTTGAATTAGTTTTTAGATATGAGGTAGGCTCATTATTAATAGTCCAATACTATAACATTGGGTCATAACAATTACTTTCTTGACAATAAATGAGCAGTTAACACCACACAAAACTGAGTCCCCATACGTCAAACTTCCACGATCGAAAATTAAACATAAGTTAATGATATTCATACTCCACTGATGCGATGGAAAAAACCACCAAAAGGCTTCCTCAAATGTAATGTTGGTTCCTCCTGGTTGAACTCTAATCATATTAGTGGTGCTTCATGGATTCTACGTGATGAAAATGGTTGTACAATCATGCATAGCCGTCGTGCCTATTCTTATATGTGCATAAAAACAGAGGCTGACATATGGTCGCTTTTCTGGGCGGTAGAGTGTATCCATAATCTGCATTTCTCGAATATTATTTTTGAGACTTCCTCGGAAAACCTTCATGATGCACTCACAAGACCATATGATTACCTCAGTCTCAGCCATATTCGTCACACTATCTTCTTTCTCCTCGCCAATATGGTTTCATGGAGTTTAGATCATGCACTCCCAGAACGTAATGAAGCTGCTGATGCTATTGATATAAATGTCACTCGAGATCACCGTCACCAATCATACATTGCCCGCAATGCTCCCGTGTGGCTTCTTCACCTACTTACTTTAGAGGCACAATAGTGAGTGTTTGGGTGAGACCTTTTCTTTCTTTCTTTTGATGTCTACTGACATCTTTTCTTGTCTGGTTTGTATCCCATCTTGTATTGCTTTGAATATTCATCAGTGTTATAAAAAAAAGTAATGAAGGCTGACTTATTCCGGCAAAGCTCAATCATACTGAAACATGACTTAATAATAATAGAGTTAATTGTTATAATATATCTTATTCACATAGTTATTTTAGGAAAACCAAAATAGAAGTAAAAAGAAAGACAGATGAAGAAGGTAAATCACTTTTAATATATATTTTTTTTGTCAACTGCCCATCTAAACTACATCAAGTGCTGGTCAGACGAGCCGATTTTTCGAGGAGCACATCTGTCTGGCTGGGTCTGATCTATATGGGAAAGGTATAGCCTTTGGTCTTTGCTTCTTTTGCTAGCGCTTCCGCTCGACCATTCCTACTCTGAGGAATATGAGACAGAGTCACCTCCTTGAAGTCCTCCTGTAGTTTCTGAAACATCTCGATTTCTGTCGTGAAAGTCGGCCCATCCACCGAATTTTAAAACGATAATTAAAATAAAATGAAGAGAGTAAAATTTTAAAAGACAATAGTTGATATGAATATGAAATAACTATGTATGCCCATATAAGAAACTATATACATATTGTTAGAGTAAAATAATACCATCTTTATGATATTATTAACAACATGTTGATACCATATTGTATAATATTTCTTTACAAGTATTATAATTATTCTTTACTTAACAAGTTTGAAAAATATTGCATAATTATTTTATATTATATATATTGTTTATCCCTACATGTTTTAAAATATATTCTTATTCACTAAATTCATTACTTAGTTATTACAGATTAAAAGATGGAATTTTATTATTATAACTTTTAGTTTTTTAATTATTTTATAAATAAAATAGAATATCCAGCTAAAATTACATGTTTTACGAATATCCAAAATACCGAATATATTCAAATGGTTTCAGAGAAAATTGAATAAAAAATTGTCAATCTGAACGATACTAAATAGATCATAAATCTATACTAATAAAATGAGCATTTTGAGGCTCTATACAACGTCCACATCTGCGTAGAATCTCTCTTCGAAAAGATGGCACATGACATAAATTATAGTTTTACATTTTTGAAATATTGATATGATGTATAGTTTTACATTTTAGTATTACTGATAAATATAATTTCAAAAATAATAAATAATATGTAAATATACAATATCATACATGGAAATACTACATTAAACATATGTAATCTATACTAATAAAATGAGTCTTTTGAGGCTCCAGAGAACGTCCACATCAGCGTAGGATCTCTCTTTGAAAAGATGGCACGTGACATAAATTATAATTTTATATTTTTCGAAATATTGATGTAATGTATAGTTTTATATTTTTAATATTACTGATTAATATAATTACGAAAATATTAAATAATATGTAAATATACAATATTATAAATGGAAATACTACATTAAACATATGTAAGATTACCATGAAGTATATAATTTCGAAAATCAAAATTATTATGTAAATATACAACATTAGAAATGGAAATACTACATTAAACATATGCAAGATCACAATTTTACATTTTTAAAAAATAATTTGAAAATACTGATAATATTATTACCTTATTATGTTTAGTTTTACATTTTCAAAATATTGATATAATATATAGTTTTACATTTTAGCATTACTGATAAATATAATATCGAAAATAATAAATAATATGTAAACATACAAATTATAAATGGAAATATTACATTAAACATATGTAAGATTACCATGATATATATAATTTCAAAAATATAAATAATATTTAAATATACAACATTCGAAATGGAAATACTATATTAAACATATGCAAGATCACAATTTTACATTTTAAAAAAATAATCCAAAATATTGATCTAATGTATAATTTTAAATTTTTATATTACTAATAAAATAATAAATGAAAATACTACATTAAACATATGTAAGATTATCTAGATGTAGTAGTCATGTTCTATAAATTTTTAAAAATGGAAATACTACACTAAACATTTATATTATACATTCAAATATATAATATACAAACATAATAAAATAAGTAAATATGAAATTTAATAAAATGAAAAAGAGCATTATTCATTACATCTATCTTAAAATTTAAATTTAGATAAATTTCTTTATATATAAAAAAGAGTTTTCTCACTCTTTATAGTGCCACATCATTAATCAAGTGAAGGAGAGGATGACATCTGTCCCTCTATCAAAATGTGCGTTTTCATTTTTTACGGTATAGGAATTTTGTGTTCACTATTCTTTTCGATCTCTGACAACTACGATGTTCACATACGTTCACCCACAACAACAATGGAGT